GGGGCACGCCTGGGCACACCTGGGCACACCTGGGGTACACCTGGGGCACGCCTGGGGTACACCTGGGCACACCTGGGGTACACCTGGGCACACCTGGGGTACACCTGGGCACACCTGGGCCAGGTGAGGGGCTCGCCTGAGTTGGATCCCCGGCACAAGTCGCTGATGGAGCTCTGGTGCTGGGGCTGTGCCCTCACCTGTGTGTACCTGTGTCACCTGTGTGCACCTGTCTCACCTGTGTGCACCTGTTTCACCTGTCTCACCTGTCTGTACCTGTCTCACCTGTCTCACCTGCAGCCAGCGGCGGCTGCTGCTGACGGGCACGCCGCTGCAGAACTCTCTGATGGAGCTGTGGTCGCTGATGCATTTCCTGATGCCGCGCGTGTTCCAGTCCCACCGCGAGTTCCGCGAGTGGTTCCACAACCCCCTGACCGGCATGATCGAGGGCAGCCAGGAGTACAACGAGAGCCTGGTCAAGAGACTGCACAAGGTACCTGGGGCACACCTGGGCACAGGTACAGACACCTGGGGCACACCTGGCCACAGGTACAGGCACCTGGGGTACACCTGGGTACAGGTACAGACACCTGGGGCACACCTGGCCACAGGTACAGACACCTGGGGCCCACCTGGGCACAGGTACAGACACCTGGGGCACACCTGGCCACAGGTACAGGCACCTGGGGCACACCTAGGTACAGGTACAGACACCTGGGGCACACCTGGGCACAGGTACAGGCACCTGGGGCACACCTGGCCACAGGTACAGGCACCTGAGGTACACCTGGGCACAGGTACAGACACCTGGGGTACACCTGGGGTACACTGGGTACACTGGGACACACCTGGGATACATTGGGGTACATCTGGGTACACCTGGGACACACCTGGGACACACCTGGGACACACCTGGGCACAGGTACAGACACCTGGGGCACACCTGGGCTACACTGGGGCACACCTGGGATACATTGGGGTACATCTGGGGACACCTGGGTACACCTGAGGCACACCTGGGACACACCTGGGACACACCTGAGGCACACCAGGGGCTCACCCAGGCCCAGCCATAGCCCACCTGAGGCAGGTGTGCCCGCGCAGGTGCTGCGGCCGTTCCTGCTGCGCCGGCTGAAGGTGGACGTGGAGAAGCAGATGCCCAAGAAGTACGAGCACGTGCTCAGGTGCCGCCTGTCCAAGCGCCAGAGGTTCCTCTACGACGACTTCATGGGCCAGGCCAGGTGAGAGCAGCACACCTGGGCACACCTGGGAGCCCCGGATTCCCAGAATTCTTGTTGAATTGTACCTGAGTTCTGTGGAATTCTACCCGAATCCGCCCCAAATTCGCCCGAAATCCGTCGGTTCGAGGTCTCTGATGACCTCGTGGCTCGGGCAGCGTGAGGGCGACGCACCTGGGCACACCTGGAATCCCCAAAATGTCCCAAATCCCCTCCCAAATCCTTTTAAATCCCCGATTCTTCTCAGGGTTTTTTTGCTTGACCCCCAGGTAATTCGCCAGGTGAGTCCAGGTGACTTTTCCATCCCGTTTTCGGCCCCGAGTTCACCCTGGACTCCCAAATTTCCCCCTTAAATCTCCAAATTTCCCTTTCAAATCCCTTTGAAATTCCCTGGAATTTCTCAGGTGACCCCAGGTGAGCCCCTGGTGTGGCCAGGTGATCTCAGGTGCGCTCTGTGTCCCTCCCCAGCACCAAGGCCACCCTGGCCAGCGGCCACTTCATGAGCGTCATCAACGTGCTGATGCAGCTGCGCAAGGTGTGCAACCACCCCGACCTGTTTGAGCCCCGCCCCGTCACCTCCCCGCTCGTCACACCTGGCCTCAGCCTCGGCACCCCCGCCCTGGTGCTGCGCGCCCTGGAGCCACACCCCTTCCAGGTGAGGCACACCTGGGCAAGCCAGCAGGAGGAGGTTCGGGGGCACTTGGAGGGGATTTGGGGCTCCAGCAGGTGTTTGGACACACCTGGGAGGTTTGGGCACACCTGGATGGGGTTTGGACACACCTGGGAGGGTTTGGACACACCTGGGAGGGTTTGGACACACCTGGGGGGGTTTGGACACACCTGGGTGGGGGTCGGGCACATCTGGATGAGGTTGGGACACACCTGGGAGAATTTAGGAGAGCCTGGAGATGGCTCAGGTGTGGCACAGGTGGGAGTCAGGTGACAGCCGGGCGTGCCGGAGGTCCCCGACGTGTCACTGAGGTGTCGCAGGTGACGCCCAGGTGTCTCCCCAGCAGGTGGACCTGTCTCCGTTCGAGCTGGTGGCGCTGGAGGCTCACCTGTCGCGCTACGCGGCCGATTGGTTCCTGCCGCGCTTCCGCGTCACGCGGCGCCTCGTGGAGGACGTGGCCGCCGCCCCCGACCCCCCGCCACGCCCCAAACCCGTCCGCATGAAGGTCAACAGGTGAGCGCACCTGGGACACACCTGGGACACCTGGGGACACCTGGGGACACCTGGGACACCTGGGACACCTGGGGACACCTCGGG